GTGCTCCAACCCTCTGATCATCTTAGTGGTGTTCCTCTGGACTCGTTCCAAGAGCTCTGTGTCTTTCTTGTACTGGGGGCTCCAGGCTTCCAGGCTTTTTTTTTAATAAAAAGTCCTTTTTATAATAAGTACATGCAGTGGGATTTCAAACACATAAACTAAGCACTCACATTCTTTAAATGTGTGAAGAACATATGCAAAAAGACGGCTGTCCTAATTTGTCTGGCAAAAACATTGCTTTTTAAAACTGAAATCTATGGAACTGCAAGGTATTGCAAGTACTTTTATGGAAATAAATCTGAGATAGATGCAAGTAGCCTCTCTTCAGGCTTTCCCAATTGTGTATAAATAATCCCTCGTGATGGCTGGAGTAGTCTCGTTAAGCCTCTCTTCCTCAGTTGTGCCATGCATCTGACAATCAGAACAGAGAAGGCTTTCATCCCAGAAATCTTGCATATTATTTGGTTTGGAGACAGGCTGCACAGGAATTAGTTTCTCTTTTTCTTCATGGTGGCATGTGTCTGAGTATACATGCAATAAAGTGTTTAAAAATAGGATTTACTATGACTTCCATGGACCTTAGGGAGGAAGGAAGGTAAACAGGGAGTTGAAATAATAAGGATATTGTAAAATTTTTTAAATAAAATTGGATTCCAGTGGCAGGCAGCAGAGCCCCATACAGGCAGGTTTAACTGGCAATCTTCCAGAAGAGAGATGCAAGGTCCTCTGAGCAGTAATTGTCTAAATAGAACAGTCTCTGGTTATTGTGCAACTTTTCTGTGTACTTTATTGTACCTTTATAATTAAATGATGTAATTTCTTTTTATCCTTTCTTGTTTCCCTCTCAACTAGAACAGGAAAGCATCCAAGAAACTCTGCAATCCAAGCAATGGTGTGGACAGACCCTGTGGCTTGCAGGTTTATTTTCTGGGTCACTACAAGTTGTACACAAGGAATTGTGAGATGGTGATTGCCAAGGCAGGAAACAACCTCTTCCTCCCCCTGCTGTGAATGGATGCTTACCTGCACTATGCATAGTGCTGGAGGTGCTTGGTTCCCTAGAATTTTTTGGTGGGGTAAAGGAATGCTGCTTTTGCTAGAAACTCAGTGGCAGAAAGGCAGCCAGCATCTGTGACGGGGTATGGAAAACACTATATTTAAAAGGACATTGAGCAGCAGGGCTATTTCATTCACTGAGGAGATCATGCAGACATCTGAGTATTAGAAGCTTAGAGCATTGTACTGAACAAAAACAGGACCGGCATTCCTTGGCTTGGGGCTTCAGCTATCAAGAACAAAATTCTGGTCCCAAGATGTTAAAGATTCCATCAAACATCAAGGCAGAATCACAGGATCAGCCCCCTAAGCTCTTCTTTGGCTGGCCCTCTTCTACATGAGTACCTCCCCTCAGTCTAAATAGTCTGTTCACAGGAAAGAACATTATTCAAGTGAGTAAAAGTTAGCAAGACTGAGCCTTGGCTTTGCATGTTCGGCTCCAGTACTTTCCTTATTGATTACAGCTTACGTATCTTCTGTACATTTTGTTTTGTTTTCAGTTATAACAAAGAGAACAGATCAGTTGTCTAGTTTTGATGCAGTGCTGGAATGTCATCCAGGCCTTTGGGTTCTTACGTCTGTGCCTCTCCCCAAGTATGCTCACATGTAAAAATTTGTTTTAATTCATTGCCTATTTGTCTAACTGTATTACTAACGTAAATGTTTTAATTACAAGAAATTTAACAAATACAGAATAGAATTCCAGTAGTGACCCAGAATCTTCAGAAACAGAACAGTTTTTTAAAACCACTAGCATCAGAATATTGCCAAATACCACAGGGCCTGATCCTGCCATGAGCCATTGCCTACAGCTTGTATTAATTTCAGCAGAGTTCACAAGCAGAATAACTGCAGGGTATTTGCAAAGCTAGTTAGGCTCTTAATGACTATTTTTTATTATCCTTTGATAGACAAATCTACCATTCTCAAAACTGGAAGTTTTGCCTAGGGAAAAGTGTGTCTCTGAGTAAATGGATCACTTAGCTTCTGTCCAGCTTAAAAAGAAAAAAAGAAAGAAAAAAAAAGAAAAAAAAGGAACTTAATAGCATTCACATTCAATTACACGTAGCATTAAATGCAATATTTGGGGCCAGAACCCACATTAGTTTATCCAGTTTCCTACGAGGTGTGCCATATTAAATTAGCAGCTGGCAAAGGATGGAAGGTAAAAGGCCCACATATCAATGACCATTTGCCCTGGAGCTCTGGTTTTACACAGAGAGGTATCACCTCAGTGCAAGAAGATGCACTCCAGTCAGGGTATCTGATGACTACAGGTACAGCACATTTGCAGTTCTTCACATTCACATCAGGCATGCTTTGCCCAAACACCAGCCCTGCAATCTCCAACTCCAGATGAGCGTCTGGCATGGAAGGCAAGCAAGACAAGCAGCGTGGTGCTGCCGAGATGAACCACAAACACCTGCCTCCTCTGCAACGCAGAACTGTTTTCAACATCTGACAGCAGCAGCAGATGTACTTATTTCACTGTCACCATACAGCTGTGGATCATAAAGGAATGTCTGATATCTGTCCTTAGGAGGAAACAGGGACACCAGTTGCTTTCCCTCGTAAAGACAGCTCCATATCAAATTTCTAGTTCAGAGATTCCAGCTTATAGGCATCCTTAATAGGTGGTTATTTTTACATTACTTTTTGGTAAAGGAAGAGTAAAATCCATTTATTCTTTTTGATCTAGCTGCTAACTTACAGTGGATAAGCGATCTGATAATACTGCTATCCTTGGTTTTATATGTGAGGGAGTCAGAAGCTGTCACTTACCAAGCAGACATTATATTTGCTCTCCTGTGTCTTAACCCAAAGATGCCAGAACAACACACCTCTACAGCATTAATGTAAACATGTGATTCTTCAGCATAACTGAGACTTACAATATAGGTAAACCCTTCCTCCAAAAAGGCCGCCATTGGTATTCAGCTTTATCAGTGTCCCTCCTTTCAAGTTTCTCTTAACACGCTACGAACTTGTTTGTAAAGCATCCACAGAAAGCCATCAGAGAAGGCAAGGAATTAAGACACCAACATCTGTGCTCTCCTAACTCTGGGGCACTAACCTCGAGCATTGGTTTTCCATCCACCAGCATACAACCAGAGATAGGAGCAGAGCAGCACGCACCATTCCAAGCCCAGGAAGCGGTGTGCATTTAGGGTGGCTCACCACACACACACAGCCGTGACAGCATCTTCCAAAGACTATCCTATCCCATGTTTAACCACCTCAGAGTAAGGTGCCTCATTTTGTCTATCACCAACACTTCCCAGAGCTGCTCTCACACACAACCCATCACCAAGCAATCTCATCAGGTTCCAGATATTCTTGAGTCCGGGAATGGGGTAGGTGGTGAATGAGAAATGGCTAACTTATTTCAACACAAAAAATCTCTCTAGTAATTGAAATTTTATTTGGTAAAGGAGTTCTCTGGTGTGATGTTTGTCCGCTGGCAAGGTTGAAGTTCTCAGATTGTGCACACAAGCACGTGGAAGAGTGATCCACTGCAAGCCCACACCCTCAGCTAGACAGAGAGCAGAAATCCCTCGACATTGGCATGAGCACTGAGTTGTCAGGATGCAGACCCTTGTCCATTGCTAACAGGATTAAAGCCACCAGTGCATCCCACAATGGTCATTAAGTAGAACTGGACATTAAGGGTCACCAGTAACACAGAAAGGGGGGAAAGGTCCTCCACTACATCACCTGTGTACGCTGCTTCAGTTCAGGTCTATACTGTGCTACATACTTGTATGACTCCCTTTAACACATAGGGAACTAAATGTATACATTGGCAAGTGTGTGTGAAATCACACCCCTCGAGAATAATCAGCCTTAAGCAACAATTCTGCATGCATGGTCTGAAAAGGGAGTCAACACAGGCTACCAAGGGAACTTAGGACAGAGAACACAATGTAAGAAGCAGCAATTTCACCACGATGGAAATAAATCTCTAGAGAACCATCTGAATGCCACAGAAGAACCATGGGAGGGAAATGTTATTTTGCTGTTTGGAGCAACCACGCTGTGAGCAGCAAAGATGCTGTCATCCTTTACTGAATCCCAGTCATCTCGCAAAAACATAAATCTTTTCATGGATGGGATGTATAGACAGGGGTTTGTGTGCATCTCCTCTTGCAATACTTCAGATCAAAGAGACATTTGAGGCAAACTGACCATCATCTTGAGCCACTATGTTTGGGGAAAACAGAAGGAGGAGGACCAGAAGACTAGAAAAAGAACAGCACAAAAATGCTACAGGCAGACAGATGCATCTCCACTCTGAAAGAAAATGATTCCTAACACTCCTAATAAATTAATGCAACGTTTTGTAGGCATTGAAAATATTCCTAAACGTAGCTTAGTGTAAACAGCAAGCTGGGTTTCCTCCTGCTTGTTAGCATTTCTCTTTGTTTACGCTCCATTTGAGGATAGAAGCCTACATGTGAGCACTACTAATGGTGTCATTCAGGACTGATGGGGTATTTGGGAAGGGAATGACGAAATACAGACATATGTAGCATCTCGTAAAATACTATATACTTTGTCTGAGTCAGCAGGCTCAAACTAAAAATAAAATAAAAAATACCAAGGCTCTGCTTTATTCATACATTTTGCTTCAGTGTGGAGAATATTCCGATACCATGGTGATGGGCTTACAGAGACAGAGACGTGAAAGAGACGTTCTGAGGTGTGTCTGCTCTCACCCCACTGCTGCCTTGCTCCCAAATCCCACATCTCCATGGAGGAGACCCCACAGGAAACTGCCCCGGTGATGCCCTGGGAAACAGCACGCAGCCGAGGCGCTTCACCCATCGCAAGGAGAGGGTTTGGCTAGGAATGCTCACTTCCACCTGGGAGCCCAAACGGCTCTGCTCAGCTCCCACTCAGCTCGGGAGGGCCCAGCACATGCATTTGGTAAAAACAGCCCTTACCTTTGGCAATCAGCTCCTCCAGCTCTTGGTCGAATCCTTGTCGGTGGCATTTCCTCCAGAGCCCCATGTTGGTTGAGTTGTACTGTCTGTTGCACTCGTCGACCGCGCTCATGGCAAAGATCTGCCTCCTGTTCCTTGCCAAGAGGAGTTTCCCTTCCCAGCGGTCCAACCTCGACCTGCTGGCCCTGAGAGGCAGGTTGTTGTTGGAGTTGTAAATAAAGCCAGGATCATTTCTCTTAGTGGTGATGCTTTTGCACCTCTCCCTGTGCTTCCGGGCATCAGTTTCGTACCAGTGGTCAGAGCAGATCGCCACAGCCAGCATGCCCAGGGCACACAAAGCTAAAGAGAGGCCAGCATACAGCAGCAACCTTCCAGCAGCCATACCTCAGCTTCACGGGAACACCATGGACATCTTCACCGCAGGCAAAGCCCTTGAGCGCGAGTCCACGCCGAAGCCCCGGAGCAGCCGCCCGTCGTCACTGGGCAGAGGCAGCCTGGAGCATCCCCTCTCGTGCGACTCACATCCACGCTGCGGACGGACGCCCGGAGCGCACCGAAGTCGTGCCCCGAGGGCAGTCGCGGGGGCTCATCGGCCTCCCCTCCCCTGCGGAGGAGACGCGGCGAGGAGAAGCGCAGCCTTCCTCCCTCCCGCCCGTGCAGACGTCCCGCCGCCCTCGCCACGGGGCCGGAGGAGCGAACCCCGGGGGGACTCGGGAGCTACGGCCGTTCCGTTAATCTCTACGGGTCCGGCCGGCCGGGAGGCGCGAGAGCGATGGCTTTCGGCGCGGTAGATCCAGCCCGGCCGCGCAGGACAGAAAGTTCAGCGGGCGGACACCTGCCGTGCAGAAGCGGGGCTCTCCCGGCCCCGAAGGGTGACCCGTCTCTTCTTCGTCAGCCGCTCGGCGCGGGCATCATCCGGCCGGCCGGCTCGGGTTTAAAGAGGAGTCGAAGGGGAGGGAGCGAGGCGGGGAGCGATCCGTTGCCGCCGCCGCTTCAAATCGCGGCCGGAGCGCCGGCTCCCCGGCTGCGGCTGGCAACGCGGGAGCGCGCGGCTCCGTCTCTCCCTCGGCGGACTCGGCCCGAGTCGCTCAGACGTTCAGTCGCTCGCGGCCGCCGACATCCCGGCTTCCGAACCGCCTCGGCTCCTCCCCGCCAGCCCGGCCATCCGCTCGCCCGGTCCCGCCGGCTGCGCCGTCACCGGGCGGCCCCCGGCCGCCACGCTCCCCTCGGGCGGCGCGGCCCCGGCGTCCCGGAGCCCTGCCCGAGCGGGAGGCGCCGAGGGACCGCGGGGCCTACGGACGCACCGCCCGGCGGCGGGCAGGCGGCTCCCGCTAGGCGGCACGGCTCCTCGGCCCCGGCATCGCTCCTCCACCCCCTTCCGCCGGCGTTCGCTCGCCTTCCTTCGTCAGCGCCGCTTCGGTTTGTTGCGCGCCGCTTTCCTAGCGCACGGGCGCGTGAACCATCTGCAGGATGAAGGCAGGGCTGCTGGAAGGATGCTCGGGAGCGGGGCGGGGAGCTCGGGGGGATTGGAACCAAAACAAACCGGGGGCGAAAAAAAAAAAACCACCGCCGCACACCTTAGGCGGGGAGGGGATGGCAGCCCCTAACAGTTGTCAACAGCTCTGGGTCTGCGCCGTTTCTCTGCCATATGGCCTGATCGCCGGCGGAGGAGACGAGGGTTTTAGCTCAGCGGCTTCACGTGAGACCTATCCTCGGCATCAGCAGATATGTATTCAGACATCTTTTTTTTTTTTTTTTTTTTTTCTCTTTAAATTTCCTCTCCCTTCCTCTCTAATGGGAATAACTCACCCATCTTGTAGAGATCAAAAGCAACAGAAGGCGCGCCGGAGTCCACGAGCTTTAGAAATCTCATTTCACCGTTTTTTAACCTAAATAAGAGTGGATCCAATCTTCCGTACACCTGGGAATCTTTCCTTGTTCAAACACCGAGCCCTGCAGCCTTGGCTAAAGCCTACAGACAGAGAATACAGAGCGCCGAGCCAAAAGCCAGTGATGTCACCCATGCAACGTGAGACTCATTTCTTATTTCTCTGGCCTCCTTAAAGATAAACTGCACCGCTTGGCAGACAGGAAATGTCGAAGCCTTACTTTCTTACAAGGGGAGAATGTAAAACCTGGATTTAAGCGGATTCTGCTCGTTCTCGGTCACGAGACCTTACGCTGTGTCACCCAAACCCAAGACAACCGTGGCTGTTTCTGCTGCACCAAAAAACCCCACCTCCTCTGCAACTCGAAGCGTGAGCCCACCTTGCATTTGAGACCTGGATTCTGCGTGATCCAGAAAACCGAGGCCTCCAGACCCCGAATGGTGCTGTACAATAAGGAAATCAGCACAATCATTTCCCTTGCATCCAAGCTCTGTGTCCTGGCACACCCTGCTCTGTAAGCACCAGCGCATCCCTGAGCTGGCAGCAGGGTCCCACTGCACCCAGTGCTTGGCTCCCACAGGCTCCACAGCACATAACACAGCAAATAATGCAGTCACTCCTACTGCACCAAGAAGCCCACAGCCCTGTGTCTCCCCAGGACTGAGTGTTGCAAAAGCCTATGTCAAAAAAAAAAAGGCAGCACATCTCCTTGCACCTCAGCTGCAAAGTGGGATTTCCAGCCATGTAAAGGCATCTCTCCCACTAAACCGTGTTTCTTTTCAAGTGCACCATATTGTCAAAGCCCCAAACAAGATTGAGAAGCTCACACAGGGAAGTGCAAGCCCAAGAGATGCAGTGATGAGTGCATCTGCTAAAACAGCTCAGTTGCAAAATTTCAGCGTTGTGTTATGAATATTAACTGTGCCTGGAAAGCTCCAGATAAAGTTGATTGTTTTGTTCAAACAAGGCACCGGTTTACATATGTTTAGCAGTAACTTCCCTTTGTGGTTCATAATAGAGGTACATTTCTAGGGGTCTAAGCCTTAAAAAAATGGTGGATCAACTTCTATAACAGGATTTTTCAAGCAATTAAGTTTTATAATAAGCTTGGAGCAGCCATACTTGTTTACTGTTGGAGGAAAAAATCTAGAGCTATGTGGTCAAAAAGCTGCAGGATCCTATAAGCAGATGGACAACAGATTTCTTGTATGGCACCCATACAGAGATGAGCGTGCCTGGATTTCTTTGTCAGTTCTCAGCATCAAGCTGGTGGATGAGAGCAGAGAATAAGCCTGATTTTACCAAATGTTCTCGGCTGATGGAATGGTTGGATTTTAGATTGAAGAATCCATCATCCATTAAGAAGCAGGAACCAGGTGCTGATTTAATGGTTTCATGGATCTAATGCTGCATTGTGAGGCAGGATTTAGAGTAGGTGCAGGAGGGTTTATTCTCTATTTAGACTACAGAACTGGAAGACTGGGAGTAAGGGCATGCACTTCCAGGTTTTCTCTTTTTCTCTGAAAAGGTATTTCAGCGGCAGTCTCCATGCATTTTTGTTTTTCTGCCTGTATCTGTAGCTTGATCAGATGGCAAGCTACATCCTCCTGCGAGTCACCTTAAATACACTAATGTAGGAGAAAGTGTTGGATTTCAGGCGAGCTCCGCTTTAACTCTTCGGATTAAACACTTTTCTCCCTCACCATCACGATGTCCTTCCTTTCAGGAGGGGCAGAGCACGGCTTGATGCAGCGTCACCAACCCTTCCTCTGCCTCTCCTCTGGATTATTCCCGGCAGCTCCTTCCCAGTGCAAACAGATCATTACGAGATTCGCTTCCTCCCACCCCACACCCACCTCGCCACGGGGGGGAAAAACAATCCTTGTCGATCTGCAGATGAATGTAAGCGGGGAGGAAGACGTTTAAATAAAAAAATCCACACACACGTTGCAGCCTCGCCCTGCAGTGAATTAAGGATGCCTTGGCAACGGGAGTTAATTCATTGATCTAACATGAATTAGGCTGTGAATGCGCAGTTTTAGCTTTCTGCGGGTTGTGATTTTGGTGATACGGAGGGGAAGGTAGCGCACATGGGTGCACAGAAAAATGCCTGCAGGCACGGGACAGACGAGCGGAGCCCGTGCTGCTGGGAGCCAGCTGCTGGTGAGGAGCTCTGCTGCCTGTTAGCGCCCAGCGCTGCTGTTTTCTGCACACTAGGCCAGCCTCTCGCCCGCTGCCCCCTGGCACTGCTAGCGCTGCCCCCGGCTTCCCTCCACTCCCAAACCTCCGCCGCAAAGAGCAGCGCAGGTACGGAGGTGCACGCAGGTGCTGGGCACAATTCATGGAGAACCAATCGCAATTCGCTTTTCTTCGGGTTATTATTATTTTTATTATTATTCATCAAAATGACCTCCACCATATTTTTCTTCTCCCTCCTCTTTTTTTTTTTTTTTTTTTTTTTTTTTTTTTTTTCTTTCCCTTCTATAAAAGAAAAAGGGTTCAGTGCCATCTAGTGGGGGAGGGGACTGAGCAAGCCACCGCAATCCCTGTTGCTTGGGATCAGTGCCATCGATTGGATTTATTCAGCAGGGAGAGATGATCCACGGCATTCCCCTTCTCTTTGTGCTCTTCATTTCCCAGGAGGTGACGTGACATTTACACGGGCTCCATCCTTCCCTCTGCTGGAGCCCAAGGAGCTCCCGCTAATATTGTGTTACCTGGAGTTGCGCTGACCCTGGAGGCACTTCGTTGCTCTAATTACAGGATGTAAAATGTAAGACAGCAATCAAACCAAACACAGATAGGACAAATTATATCCACTAATGTTTTTTATCGTTCAAACGCACCTTGGATACCGATGTGAGTGAATCCCCACTATGCCAGCCATACCAACACAGACGTACACGATGCTGCCTCTCACACAGAAGTTTCCCATAGCAACTCCCACAAACAGCTGAGCCATCAGTCCAACAAACTGCGAGGTGCTGAGGGGGTTGAGAACCAAGCAGAGGCTCTGGTAAAGGTAGATGTGAACCTCAAAACCCCACAGAAGTTTGTCAACTGCTCTCTCCCCTGACAATTCCCAAAGGTTTCTTCTTTGCCGCATCTCTACAAAAAGCATTTGGATTGCAAAGCTAAGCAAGTTAGTGAACAGTAGATCTAAGCCCACCCATGCAACATTAATTCACCTCTCACACATGCACCTTATGCTACAATCTCATTGCATTTTTTTTTTTTTTTTTGTAAGGTTCTCCTTTCTTTTTCAGTGCAAAGGACGGATGTTGCTCACTTAATGAATGCTATTCAAATGTTCTCCTATCCTTATCACCCGACGTGAGGAGCATGTACTATTTACCACAGAGCATCCAGACCTCGCACTGAATACAGAATGATTAATCTCCTCGTGGGCTTTTCTATAACAGTGTTCTCATTCTAATGTTTGCAGGTTGTTTTTTTTACAAACATCAATGAAATTATCTTCCCAGTTCCCTGCTGAGAAACATAGATAAAAGCCAATATTTCCAAACGTGTCAGGGTATTTGGGGTGCTCAATTAAAGCAGCTTAGAACCAAAACTTTCAGAGTACTTAGCAGTTCTCTTCCTTAGAAAACAGCTCCCAGTCTCCTTGACTCCACACACCATGGTCAGTATTTCTACCAATCAGTACAAGAGTACCTGAAACAGAATCCACTGAAAACATGGATCACCTGGACATTAGTTGTGAAGACTGGAAATTATTTGACTCATTCAGCCTCATAATAGCAACTCCAGCAAAGGAACAAATAAAACCCGATTACAAATTTCAACTCAGCTACCTTAACTTTCAGGCTATGACTTTTCCTAGCTGTGTTCCTCTGCTAGTCTTACTACGCAGCTTCCAAACTCTTGACCAAACAGCCACCATACCTGGGCTGCAAAGCCCTAATTCATCAGCCATTTGGCATGAATGGAAAGTGAGTTGGTGTAAAAAGCAGGATTCAGTCACATATCTCACTTCATGAACACAAGATGCAAATGAACAACATTTTGTGGACATTCTGGTGTTTTCTTAAGGTCTTCATAGAATCACAGTATCATGAACATAGACCATAGAATGGCCTGGGTTGAAAAGGACAACAGTGATCATCCAATTTCAACCACCAGACCAGGCTGCCCAGGGTCACAACCAGCCTGGCCTTGAATGCCTCCAGGGATGGGGTATCCATGACCTCCTTGGGCAACCTGTTCCAGTGTGTCATCATCCTCTGGGTGAAAAA